CTGAACATCTCTATGGACTGTAATTTTCTTCTTTTTCCTCTGTACCACCACATCATACGATCCAAATAGTTTTGCTCCACTTAGATAGCTGTGGACAGGCTGGTGCTGTCTTTTAAAATGTAAGTTTTAATCAGGCAGCATTCCAGTTTGTCCTGACACAAGTATTACTCATTCACTCAATTTGGATATGCCCTCCTGGTTTGGAGAGAAAAAGGTGGAGTTAGAGGCAGCCCCTCAGAACCTGTACAGAACCCTGTATGGCCCTGGGAGTGTGAAGTGAATGCATGATCTGCAGGTGGAGTGGGGAGAAGAAATGCTGAGGGATCCATTGGGCAGGGAATTGGTACCAGGTCACTGTCGCAGCGGCTGCCTAAACATTTGCAACATGGAGGGAAAACCTGTGCTAGCCTCATTCCCACCCCCTTATCCTCTCCCCACAGCTCCCTTCCCCGAGTGAGGCCCACCTGAGCCACAGCAAAGATCTACTGCATCAAGAAGGATCCCAGCAAGCAGGACCTGACTCTCCAAGATTGTCCCTGTCCCTGTGGGGCCTCCCCTGAGGGTAAGAGGGGCACATAAGAGAAGCCCTTATGTACTGATGTGGAAAGAGATGATCAGTTAAGGAGGCCCCTTCCCCATGTAGAGGAGAAGAGAAAGGAACAAAATGGGTTCTTAGAATGGCCTGCAGGTGAGTTCCTCTTTTGTGCTTTCATCTTCCAGTTCTGGGTGTACGTAGTATGGTTTCATCTAACTGCCAAAGTCCCAGAATTGAGGGAGGCTGCTGAATGGTGTCAAACCACAGAAGCAAAAGCAAGAACTGTAGGAAAGGGGCTAGTGTGCTTCCAGTGTCAGTTTTTGGGCCTTGTTGGCATCAAGGGAGAAGTACATTGGGGCCATTGTACTGCGATGAGACTCTTTGGACTGAAAGGTTGAACATTTAATGAATGTGGGAAGCATTCAGCAAAAATTCAATTCAACTAGAGGTTAATACATATTCAGCCTGTGCAAGACATTGTGGGAGGTTCTTCAAGGGAACTGGAGATGAGCAGGATGTGGTCTCCACCCTCAAGAGGTCTGAGGACTCTCACAAGAGAAGGGAAAATAGATGCATAGATAATTTATTCAGCCACAAAATGTCACTGACTGTTATTGATATGTAACAAATACCCAGGGCTGGATCCACTGGTGAGAAGAAGGAGGATTCTGGCCCTTGGGGGCATTCAAGTCCCAGCCATTCAACTCAAGCATGGATTTGAATATTCTAGTTTTGACCTGTTAAGCCTAAGGCTGATGTGACACATTTAAGTGAAGATATTCAAGTTTGGAGCTCAGAATCTAGACTAGAAATATAAGTCAGAGATTAAAGGCAACAGATGAGATCACCAAGGAGCAAGTCTGGTGAAGAAGAGAACCCCCAGAAGGATATATGTGAGGGCAGGAGGGGCTGGTGGGCAGTAAAAGAGGAGGAGGCAGCCAAGAAGATGCTGCATTGTTTTAACTGCCAATGCTGTATTAACAGAAAATGTATCTCGAGACGTGAAACGCAGCAGGTCCTTTCTAAGCGATGATGATGGGATAGAGCATGAAGACTAGCTTACCCAGTGAGAGGTGCTTTCTGCAGCCCGTGGTGGGATGAGGATGACAGCTGTCCACCCAGACCATGAAGATGGCCCAATACTAAGCTCATCACTTCACACATATTATTGCTTCTGTAGTCAGTCCTCAAGGCACCCTTCCAGGCAGGAATCATCCAGGGGTGCAGAGAAGTTGGGTCACTCACCCAGATCCCGTGGCCAGTGGGAAGCTAGGTCGGGATTCCACCCCATTTCTCTAACAGCTCAGGCCTTGCATGAATACTCACTGGTTTCAAAACACACAGCCTGGGGTGTGTCTGAATTCATGGAACAGGGTCTGTACAGGTCTTTGAGGTCATCTCCCACCTTCTACAGAAAGAGCAGATTAAGCTAAACAAGTCGAGCCTGGCACTATGTTGATATGCTGTGTTAGGCATTTGAGCACTCCATTACCATACTTGTTTCTCCTTTCATCATCTCGGTAACACTTGCCTCTTCTTTGGGTCTCTTTTGCTCCCACCCTTTCCCAGGTTCTCTTGTACTCAAGTTTCAGTCTTCCTTCCCCACAACTAATGGTACATGTTCTACTGCCCTACTCTCTGATCTTCTCTCCTACATCTGCTGCTCTCTCTGCTCTTTCTTTCCATTACCTTGTCCCTTCTAAATCTAACATGCAGTTCCTCTCATTTTTCAAGTTTACTATCTTGATTTTACAGGTTTCTTTTTCCAGCACTTTCCATAGTTCTCTAATGCTCTGTGAAGCAAGTTCCTGATGGTGAGATTGAAGGTTGTTTATAAATCTAATTGTAGTGGCCTTTGTTCAGAAGCAGCTACTGTGGAGACTGAGGGCAATGCTACACCATCCTCTTTCTTTGTGATGGTCAAATCAGACTCACTACTATCAGTTAATTTTATCTCCAACTAATTTCAAATTTTTCACACACTCTCTCCCAATAAAAGAAACTGAGCAATTTGTTCCATATCATTAAGTCTATCACTCTCTTCCTCTCTCTCTTGGGTGGGACATGGAGCCAGCCTGCTGTAGGAAATCCTCTCAGATGGGCAAAGGAGCCTTCCCTGTGTGGTGTATGCATGTGAGGGCACCAGGGCAGGCATTCTGGGCCACTCTACTCATCCCTGTCTTTCATCCACACTCTCTCCCCTCCTCCCACCAGAAGGCCCACATCCTCTTACCAATCGCCTGATTAACTTTTGAAATCATTTATCTATCTTGGGTGTCTCCATAAAGGCTGATGTGATATGTGAGTTTTATATGTATTTATCAATGTTTGGGTCAGTTTGTATTTTTTGTGGGTATAGTTCGAGCATGTGAAATATATGTGTGCTGACACCTGTGCCTATGTGGACCTAGTTTCAAATGACCTGAAAGGAATATAATGGCCATTGAACATCTGTACATAAATACAATACACACATATGATGCCTGGGGGGAATGTATGTAGGATTACCATCAGGATTTTATTTTGCAACGGTAAAGGGAGTTGATTTGCACTGTACTAACAATGAATCAGCATATCTATGGCTCACTGTCAGTGACTCTCTTACAAATTACATTGCCCAAATATTTCTGTCTGTGGTCTGATGTGGCATGTGGCACTATAGTCTCTGAGTTAATATTAATAGTACTAACCCATGCTCTAACCCATGGTAATAAATGAAATAAAATAATTGCATAGTTGAAAATACACTAAGGAACTTAAAGCAATTACAAACTTCTTAAAAATCTAGTTTGAAATAACAAGTACAGTGTCATGTATAAGTTTTAAATTGATTTCAGTTTCAGTAATCTACTTTTGAGTCATTACTTGTCTTACTCATTTTATAATAAAAAACCCAAAGCTTTTATTTTACTGAAATAATGAGTTTATCTTTTGTCTTCTGTCACGTTCTGAAATATAAACAATTACAAAATTGTTCAAAATATCACTTCTGTTAAATGATAATGTTTATTCTATAAAGAGAATGCTAGAACAACATTTGGGGAACAAGAAACAGAATCTATAAAGGATTTATTCATAATCTATTCCCCTCAGTGGAAATTTACATTCTTCTGATTTTGTCTAGTTAACGTGTTTTAAGTATTTTGAATGGGGAAAACAGCTCAAAGAGGACATTCAGGCGGATTCCGGCTCACAGTTCATCATCTGAGTACATGATTTCAATTAACTGAAGAGGTGCGGAGCAGCACTTCCTGGAGTTGCCAAGCACGGACAAGAACAAACTCGGGTGAGACTCATCACCTTCACCACCACGCCGGGCTGGTGGCAAAGGGGCAGGCCAGGCTGGGCTTTGGCAGTGACGCCAAGAGGTGCAGCAAGGCTGCGCCACGGAGTGGGGTGGGGGGGAGCTGCCGCGCCCCCGCGCTCTGCCCGGAGCCCTTGATTGGGTCCGCGGCGATCCGCCCGCTCCAGACCGCTCCCCGCGGGGGAAGCGAGCCCAGCCGAGCGTCGGCTGCCCAGCCCCTGCCCAAGATTTAAAACGCGCAAGTTTTGTTCTTGAGACCAATGACTTTAGCTCTGATGCTGGGAGGAGAGCCTACCTGCGATTTGGGAGATTAAGGAACTGGCCTTAGACTTGGTGAGTTTTGCTTTAAGCTCTCTTTGAAATGAAGCTGGGCTTGGAAGTAAACTTCATTAGGGGGCGGGGTGAGTTTCTCCCCACTGCCCCATTGCATTCTTAAAACAAACCGCCGCCGTGAAGCTCTAGATCTGTAAATTAGAGCCTCCTTCTTTTGTCACTGAGGCCCCCAGAAGTTCGACGCGTATAAGTGGTGTGACATGAGATCTTTCAAAAAGACTAGCCTGCCCTCAGAACTCTTGCTCTGAAAAGGAAAATAAAGTGCTCAGAGGACAGCAACTCAGAACTTACCTCTCGTAGATAAGTAAACTGCCGGTGTTCTGAACGAATGGGTCACGAGTCCAACAAATTCTACTTCTTAAAGAAAAGTGTATGGAGACCAGTTATTTCATGTGGAATTAACATATGTGATCAATCGTACTATTAAAAAATGCGCTGCAGCCCACCGCATCCTAGCAGGGGTAAGGCCTCTCGTGGGTGGAAATGCTGTCTTCTCTTCCGGATGACTAAATGGGGGAAGTTCCAAACCGCTCGGCGGGGATAAATCTCAACTCCGCGTCTGGTTCGTTCTTTGTGCGGGGAGAC